GACGGACGAGTCCATCTATGCTCGGAACGGAGGAGGGGGGAGAGAAATAAAATGAAATGCGGTCTGAAAGTCACCCTAAGCATGAACACAATAAATTAACACCCGAAATGGTGTATCAAATCCTTCCAATGATTGCTAAGCCAGAATCAATATTCTCGGTTGAAATTATCTCTGTGTTTGTATATGTGGATAGCGTCATGAACGAATCTCTTATGGTAGCCAGATGGCTTGCAGAGAACCTCTGTCTTGGAGAAGTCAATGTCATGTGAGCCCACTGAATTATAACAGTGGTCTGCCACGGCTGAAGTGTTGGTCCTACTGTGTTTTAGGTCTGCTTTGTGTTCACGGATGTGGTCCGAGACATCTCGTTTGGTTTCTCCAATGTAACGGCTTCCACAGAGGCAACTTAGTTTGTAGACGCCAGAGTACTGTATGTCTGGAATCACATATTTTACAGACAGGACCAGATCACGGATTTTATGTACTGTGTTGAATCGGACCTGGATCTTGTGGGTTTTTTTTCAAGATTTTGGAGATCTTTTTTGTGACCCCTGCAATGTAGGGTAAGGTGATGGTTTTGAATGGCTCCTCAAGAGGGTCCTTCTTCATGGTTGGAGTGATGGCTTTCCGGATTGTGTAGTCAGAGTAACCATTAGCCTTGAGAGCTTGCTGTACGTGCTTGAGTTCACTGGCAATGTGTTCCTGGTCGGAGATGCATTGGGCTCTATGGTGTAGAGTCTTGATGAGGGAATTCTTCTGGGATGGATGGTGGTGAGAATCCAGTTTTAGGTAAGCATCCGTATGGGTAGCTTTCCTGTAGACAGAGTGGCTCATTGAACCATCAGGTCTCTTTTGTATTAGGACATCCAAATAAGGTAGCTTGCCATCTTTTTCGACCCAGCCCTTATGTTTTTTGTTTGCATTTTGACTGCAGTTATTGTGGTTAATGCAGTAACATGAATCCTTGTAAAAAGTTTCAGTTTTGTTGCCAGAAAAAAGGGGAAAAACCCTATTATTACGAGTTGACCATTTTGGAGGTTAAGTGGCAAATGGACGACTGTGGGGGAACGGTGAGGGATGGAGAAGGCAAGAATTTAACAAATGGCCCCATTGTTGCTGATGTATGTTCGTTGGAAAAAAAAGTTTGAGCTCATGCACACGTTGTCCCTCTGTTTTGTAAGGCAAAGACAGGCATGTCAGAGCCTTTGTTAATTTATTGGCGAAGAATATTGATGTTTTTTTTTTTAGAATAGCAGAATTTGACATTAAAGTGGGCCTGGAAGATCTTGCATAGGAGAGGGTAGTAGGGAACAATCGACCGGTTGTGAACTTTAATTAGCGAGTTAGTGGCAGGTCTGAGCATAATTTGAAATATACCATGTCCAGTAGCTCTGTGACGATATAAACGATAGCCAAAATGGGCCGACTGAGTGTGTTTCAAGTAGTTGCATGGATACCTCTTCGAACACCTCTGGTCTTGCATACATGGTGCATTTGGATAGAACTGGCCACATGGGCCATGGACCATTGGTTGCAGACCACATAGGAAAAGGGCAGTGTCTTTATGGGGGTGAGGTAGCTCAGCACTGATAAATGTGTCAATGTGACTTGCATGAATTGTTTACCTCATACATAGGGAAATGTGAGCATGAGAAAGACGACGTTTTTGACACCCAATGGTGTGCAAGGTGCTGCTTGTCTTTGCAAAGACGCTGCCTTCGTTGGTCGTAATAATCATCATGAGGTCATAAACTTTGAGTTTTAAGACCCTCGCTAAGATGTCATGTCTGTGTGGTGGCTTTTGGTTTGGATAAAATTAAACCTGGATCTCATTTCATTTGGGATTGCAAGAGAATGTGATGAAGAGATGCGGCGTGGCATATTGACTGATGTACGTCATCGCATCCTGAATCTTCCCATGCATGTATCTTGGTGGAGCTGTGAAGGATGAAGGCAAAATAACTAATCAGCCCACATTGTGACCGTTTGCATCTCCTTTGGCATTGATGGCATCCCAGAGATGAGCATACTGTTCACACGCAGGCGGTTTTCATTCAGTTGAATGTAAAGAAGGTGCTCACTCTCAATGTTGGCATGATCATCGACAACATACTGGTGAAAGAGGTTGGCTCATAATAATGTGTGGTTTCCTCCTCTGTCCATGATTACGAAGGAATATAAAAAATAGGAGACAGTTTCGTGAGGATGTCTTTGTCGTGCAGCTTTGTAATTGGAGGAATCTTGACGAGTTACCCATCTTGGGCTTGCGACAGGAAAATGTGTTATTGTAGGGCATCATATGCTCTGTTAGTGTCAGGATATCGTGTGATGGTGTTTTCTTGGTATGGGAGAACAATGCCTCTCCCAAAATGTTCCTCACCCACCATAAGAAAGCAAGGTCAACAATATTTATGGGATTGAACCTCCCTGCGTGGTCCTGGGTTTGGTGAAAAGTAAAGGTGCTGTACGGCAAAATTTAAATGGGTGATCACTAAAATATTATTTACGGACTCTGTAGTATAAACTGGACGCATCGTGTTGGAGGGGGAGGGGGGGAGCGAAGAGGACATCACACTGAAGAAATATCCGCAGCGTTGTGTGAATGTATTGCATGTAAAAGGAAATGTCCCCCGTGAGCTCGAACGAACGCGCATCATTTGACAGGGGCCGCCCCCCCCTCACGCAATTGTTGTCAGTTGGTACGGTCGATGGCGCGCAATACGTAAATAATTAAATAAAGAAACGGCACAAATGTGCTAATTTAAGTACTTTAAAGTTTACGGATGGGAAAACGGAATAGCCTATTCCCATCGCGGGGCTTAGGTCTTGCAGCCTGGCAAACTGTTTTCTACCTAAATCCCACTGTCCGAGAGCCAAATCCCCTGCAAGTGCGAGCGCACGTAGACTTTTTATATATGTTTAATTTGTATATTTAATTTGGTTGGCAGTGGCTGTGTAAAGGATTTGGGCCTCGTATTTAATTAATGAACAGCGTTGCAGGATACAGTGAGCACGAATGACCCTGTCCACAGCTACATTGTTTGATGATAGGTTTTCCCCTTTTTCCTGTCAAGAAAACAGGTGTAGAAATGTTAAAACACCAAACCTTTGACGAGGAATCTTGTCTGCATTAACCACAATACTTGTGGTCAGAATTAGAGCCCGACCGAAACTGAATTTATGGTTTCGTTTTCAGCCGAAACCAGAAATTCAGTTTCGGTCGATTTCGGCCGAAACCAGACCAAAAGTTAAATATTGACTTTCGGCCAAAACCGAAGCCGAAACCGAAAGTTGAACTACACTTTCGACCGAGACCGAAACAGAACGGTATATAACCAAAGTTACCGAACACAAGATTCATGAAATATGGCATGATGCAATGCTACTTTAATAAAAAAAAATCTAGAACTAATCATTCAGAGCCTGCAGTAATAGTCGCTAAATATAAAATATTTAGGTGTTACTTACTTAGTAATTATATCCAAACAAACGAATGTTGCAGTGAAGAAACAACAGTTTTTCCGCATTCTCGCCCAGCAGGTTGCTGCGCCTTGCTTTGATCAGAATCGACTTTAGTGAAGTAATCCCACACCGCATGTTTTGACATTCTTCACGGTGATTAACTGCTCCGTTTATTAACTTTAATTTTCTACTTCACACAGATTCGTAATTTCGTTATCACTAATTCGCTACGGAACTATAAACTAACTGAATATCAATATTGGCAGAATTCAAATCTCGGTATCAACACGCGTGTAGACTTAAACGAATGCAACACATAAGCCAAGGTGGGCAGGCGGCTGGGAACAGACAATAGAGGCACTTTGTTGTCGTCCCGCCAAAGAGACTCCACCCACGGATGCAGATGCAGGCTGCCGTCTGTTGACATTAGCAGACCATCGTTGCGGCTGTAACCTCGCTCCCAAGTTGCTGCTGCTGACGTGTGTGTTTGCAGCCTATCGCATAGGATTGCCTAGCGCCGACTGACTGGCCGATAGGCAGTGATAGACTTAGCACTAGCGTTATATCTAAAAATAGATCTTCAGTTGATGACAGAAAGTCAATATCAGTTTCGGCCGAAACCGAAAGTAAACTGAAAGTTTAAAATTGACTTTCGGCCGAAACCGAAAGTATGCCGAAAGCGGCCATTTGCCAACTTTTGGCGCCGAAACCGAAACCGAATTTCCGTCGGCCTCTAGTCAGAGTGCACACAAACAAAACACTCTGACAATGTATGTGGCATTGTCTTTGAAACTGATTGGTCCACACCAGAGACAACTTTCTTTAGAGCCTCGTCTCAAAACGGTGTTACACCAGAGGATGCCAAAAGGTGTTACAACTCAAAGACAATGCCACCATCAGAGTAATGAGAGCTCGGGTAGAGCAGCTAAACCTCCGTTGCCAGGACCACAATATGAGAAGAGATTTTCCACTTTTTTCTGGCAACAAAACAGGTGTTAAGTGCATAAAACAATGCATATATTATCACAGTATTTTTTTGTTTGCATTCTGACCACAAGTATTGTGGTTAATGCAGTGATTATTCTTTGTAAAAGGTTTCAGTTTGGTGTATTAACATCTTAACACCTATTTTGCTGCCAGAAAATAGGGGAAAACCGATTCTCATATATTGGTACTGGCATAGGAGGTCCCATGATGTAATTACATTGTTGTTGATGTTGTTTGTGTTCTGTATTTTTTATTGTAGAATGACGATACAAGCGTTACAACGCCACTGTCGTATGCATATATTTATACTTTTTAAAAAAAATGATTGTTGGTGTGTCTCTCTCACAGCCCATGACACCACCAGTACATAAATAGATCCCAGTTCATCATTGCTAATAATATTCTTAGCTCTTTCGGTAAAGTCACGTTGAAGGGAAACAATAAAATAATAAAATATATATAACAATAAAAATTATCACGACGTTTCGACCATAACACAAACGGTCGTCATCAGAATTTTTATTGTTTTATATTTTTATTTTATTGTTTCCCTTCAACGTGACTTTACCGAAAGAGCAAAGAATATGAATTACTGCAGTCACGAAAGCTTTAAATCAAAATTCATTGCTAATCACTTTACCCCTACACTACAGTCACATGACAGTCACCAGCAAGTCACGGGCATGGCACGTTCACCTATCTCAGCACGCACCACTCAGATCCACAATCCTCACTGAGGCACCAACTTTACCCACCCCACCAGCAGCCCAGGATATAGTGGCTGAGCGAAGGTTTGGTGAAACGAGTGTAATGGCAACATGGAGTCGGCGCTGTAAAACGACAGCAGCCCTGCATCCCAATCCAGATGGACCCCGACTCTCCGCGGAGGCTCCAGCACCGACAGTGACGTCTCTACCCCGCCATGCCACACTGAGAAGCTGTCGCCATCTTTCCGTCGGCACCAGGAGACGTCACTCTCTCCCAGGCGGCACTCAGCACCATTCCCTCTCCGTGGGATCGTCACGTATGCGACTCCGACCCGACACCACCGCCCCGCGCTCCCCACGTCCACCTCCCAGTAGTGCTGACCCGACGAAAAGCTCTCAGAGCACAGCGCTTGGTCCCAGACATCAAAGCGGTGTGGGTGATGGGGGCGACGCTGGGGGACACCGCTCCACGTTGCTGTCCTGCGATCCGAAGAAATCTGGAGGTGGTCGTGGGCTGAGTTTGTGTCCAGAGTCGGTGAGCGTCCATCTGTGGTATTAGTGTACACATACTAATATTAGTTAGTATTAGTGTACACACACTAATATTAGATGGTATTAGTGAACACATACTAATATTAGTTAGTATTAGTGTACACACACTAATTTTAGTTAGTATTAGTGTACACACATTAATATTAGTTAGCATTACTGTACACATACTAATATTAGTTAGTATTAGTGTACACACACTAATATTATATGGTATTAGTGAACACATACTAATATTAGTTAGTATTAGTGTACACACACTAATTTTAGTTAGTATTAGTGTACACACACTAATTTTAGTTAGTATTAGTGGACACATACTAATATTAGTTAGTATTAATGTACATACTAATATTAGTTAGTATTAGTGTACACATATATATTAGTTAGTATTAGTGGACACACATTAATATTCGTTAGTATAAGTGTACACATACTAATTTTAGTTAGTATTAGTGGACACATACTAATATTAGTCAGTATAGTGTACACACACTAATATTCGTTAGTATTAGTGGACACACTAATATTCGTTAGTATTAGTGTACACATATTAATATTAGTTAGCATTAGTGTACATAAACTTATATTCGTTAGTATTAGTTTACATATACGAATATTTGTTAGTATTAGTTTATAAAATATGAATATTCGTTAGTATTTGTCTACACATACCAATATTCGTTAGTATTTGTGTACATATACTATTAATCGTTAGTATTAGTGCATATATACTAATATTCGTTAGTATCAGTGTACATATACTAATATCGTTAGTATAAATGTACACATACTGCTAATCACTTGTGAATAATTATTAGTGAATAATAATAAATAATAACTCATTAATGGTACTACACTAACATGACAATGTGTGTGTGTGTGCAGTGGTAGTGAACAGCGGTGATGATATGCTTTGGTTTTATTCGGTAAAGTCACGAAGGTAAAATAAAATTAAATAAACAATTAAATCACCACGTTTCGGAGGCAACACAAGCTTCCGTCTTCAGATGGAACTGTGGGGAGACTCTGAGAGCCTCGAGATTGTATACAGGTTAAGGGGGGGGGGGGGGGAGGAGCCAAGTAGGGGACCTTGATGGGGTGCGGGGCTGAGTTAATCCGTCTTTTGTTATGTTGAAGGTGCGGGGGATGAGTCACTGCACGGGGGCAATGGAAAAAAGTAAAAATAGAAAAGTTCGGAAAGAATCTGCTGTGTGCTTATGAGGAAGCTAAAGTTTTGACTTGGTTTATGACATCTTTCCAGTGGTTGCTTAATTTAAAACCACCCTCTCGGTTGAAGTTGTGTCTATGTTTGTATATCTGGATGGCCTCATAGACAAATGTTTGGTGATAACCGGGAGGTTTGCATAGTACTTTGGTGTCGGAGAAAGCAATCTCATGGGAACCCGCTGCGTTGAGACAATGATCAGCCACGGCAGACGAATTGGTTCTGCCGTGTTTAAAATCTGATTTGTGCTCGCGGATTCGGTCAGAAATATCTCATTTTGTCTCTCCGATATAGCAGTCACCGCAGATACAACTCAATTTGTAAACATCGGGGTGATTTAATTGTTTATTTTATTTTACCTACATGACTTTACCGAATAAAACCAAAGAATATGAATCATTGCAGTCACGGAAGCTTCAAATCTAGAATTAAGCAGTGATGATGCCAGCACCATGATGTGAACGCCACTCTCACAGCGTCTCTCTATAAACACGACGCCTGTACCACAGCCACCACAGCCTCGCACACTCTCACATCCACGCACAGACATTGTGTGTCATAGCCTCGCACACTCTCACACCCACACACAACATTGTGTGTCATAGCCTCGCACACTCTCACACCCACACACAGACATTGTCTGTCACAGCCTCGCACACTCTCACATCCACGCACAGACATTGTGTGTCACAGACTCGCACACTCTCACATCCACACACACAGACATTGTGTGTCACAGACTCGCACACTCTCACATCCACACACAGACGTTGTGTGTCACTCCGCTGCTGGATGAGCGCTTCCCCGCGCCGTGCGCATCCTAGGGGGGGGGGGTGGGGGGGTTATTTGACCATACTTTACCGCTCTCATCGGTGCGCGTTGGTGATGGTGGGGATCGTGAACGTAGAAGCGTACAGGTGCAGTACAATGGTTAACGCTGCACTGCCCTCTGCTGGTGTGATGTGTAAACATTCGGCAGGAGGGAGACAAAGGCGGCCGGGCGTGGTGCTGGCCACCCACCCCCTCGTGTGACGTGCTGGACTTCATAGCTGCTGCTGCTGATCGCTAACAGCACTTTCCTCGGGTCAACAGCAGTTTAGTTTAGTCGAATATTGAAACTGTTAAACTAATTTTATTTCATTAAGTAGAGCCCACTGATCCATGTCGCTCTCTTTCAGAGTTTGCATCTCTCTCCCCGTTGTGGAGTGGATTTTCCCCTGGTTCCTCGCGTTTTCCCCTCCACGTTTAGAATCAATTTGCATTCAGAGTATTGGCTCAACGAGGAGCCACTTCGCAGAGCTGTGATTTGTGATAGGTCGCTTCTGTAAAAAAGCGACATGGTTCAGTGGGTTCCTTACCTGGTAAAATAAAATGAAAAGTTGATGAAGGCGGGGAGCACAGAAGTGCAGTGCAACACAGTGGGGCAAGCGGGTGAAAGACTGAGGAACTCACAGACGAGAGGCAGGAATCTGTTCACGACCCTTTCAAGGGAGAGGACCGTGGTGGCGTCCAGTGAAGTGGGAGGTGGGGGTGCATATTCCTTTGGGATCTCTCTCCTGGGACAACCACCAACAGCATAACACACAGCCTCGTTTAACCACAGCACACATAGCACACATAGCACGTGTCTCACACACAGCCCATGTCTCCCGCATGGTCAGTGCCCCACACACAGCCCGTGTCTCACACACAGCCCGTGTCTCACACACAGCCCGTGTCTCACACAGCCAGTGTCTCACGCACAGCCCGTGTCTCACACCACCAGCCCGTGTCACAAACACAGTCAGTGTCTCAGACAGCCTGCATGTCTAACACACACACAAACACACCCTGTCTAACACACAAAGCACGTGTGTCTAACGCACACAGCCCGTGTGTTGTGAGTGTTTAACAGTGAGATATTAAGGATCTGTACCTGCGCGTCTCGTCCAAGTGCCCCTGTTGAAGAGAGAGACAGGGATCATGAGTGACGTCTCTACCCATGCACCACGAGTCCCTCTGCCACTGCCCGCTCTGTTGTTCTGGACACCCAAACGCCATCTCCACAGTGGCGCTCCCCACCTGCAGGAAGGTGAGCGAGTCCGTCTCGTGCTGCAGGGCGCGCAGGCGAGCGGCCGCTGCCTGGAGCTCGCTGATCTCTCGCTTGTGACGAGCGATGTCCTCCTCAATCCGGGACAGGAGCTCGCGCTCCTTCACGGCCACGCGACGTAGAGCCTCCCTCTCGTCCTCGTCCAGAGCCTTCCTTAGGCGGGCGAACTTGCCCGTGATGCGACCTCTGATCCCGGCTACCGATTCCTGTGGAGACGCGGGGACCACGGTTGGCTCCCTGAGCCATAAGTCACTCTGTGTGTGCATGTGGGCGCCGCGGTGGCTAGAAGATGTTGACTCCCTTGCCTGGTATACAGCAGGTCGTGGTTCGATCCTGACCATGACACCTGTATATTTGGAACTATCTCTGTAGTCGTATGGATTTTTCTCTGGGTCCTCCGGTTATTGCCTCCACAATTACAATCGACGTTACGCGTTTAGAGTATTTGGCTGCTAGCAATTTCAACATTACAATCTTCCACTTTGTTGAGCTATCATTTATAATCGCCAGGTCGCTTCTGACAAATAACCTTTCCTGGTAAAATAAAATATAGTTTAGTCTATGGAGCTCTATGGCTGTCTATGAGTCTCTATGGGCCTAATATCTCTATGGGTCTGTATGTCTCTCTCGGGATCTCACTGTATCTCTATGGGTGCCTATGTATCTCTCTGCATGTCTTTGATATCTCTATGGGTCTAGTATCTCTATGGGTGAATAGCGATATGGGTCTCTATGTATATCTGGCTGCTGCTATATATTTCCACGTGATGATGATGTCAGTCATTTGGTTGATCTGTAATTTGTGATTGCCAGGTCACTTCTGAAAAATAACTACACAGCTCAGTGGTCTTTACCTGGTAAAATAATAAATAACATTCACTAGTGGTGAATCATGCCCCAGTGACAAGTCGCCCATGGGACCGAGTTGATCCATGCCAAGGGGGCAAGACGGGTGCCGTACTCTTCTTGTTTCTCTCCTAGAGGGCGCTGAGGTCGTGGATGTTGAGACTCGGGCACTCGGAGTACGGTGGGGGCCCCTCGTGGGTCCGACGAGATGTGGCGAGATGTTGACTATCTCACTTGGTATACAGGTAGTCGTGGGTTCGATCTCGACGATAATTATTTCTGCATATTTCGAGTCTGCGTATATTTCCCTGTGGTCACGTGGATTTTTCCCCAAGTCCTGTGGCTTTTCCTTCCACATTTTAAATCGGCGTAATCCAGGTCAGGTTATCCCATGAATCTGACCCGGGTTTAGAGTTCAAGGCATTCGTTATCTGCTGTGAACAACCCACAGAGCCCAAGAGTGTCTCCAGGTTCAAGCAGGCGTTTAGAGTACAGTATTTGATACAATCAATTTCCACCTGATAAGCCATTTCATTGAGCTATAATTTGTGATATTCAGGTTCTGTCTGCAAAAGAGCTACATGATTCAGTGGATCCAAACATTAAACTAATTTTCAATGGTACAGTATTTTTTTCAAGTAGTGATATCCCAAACTTTCATAGCTGATTATTACCCTTCACACCAACATTATGTAAAATCCCCTCCCCCCGCGCCTGGTCCATCATGGTCCCCCCCGCGTCTGGTCCATCATGGTCCATCATGTACCTCCTACTTAAATCATTCTCATTGTTATGATAATTACTTTGTCAAGGCGCCTTTGTTTCCTCCCACACAGCTTAAAGGACTCGACCTGATCTTAGCTGTTTTCACTCCAACGCTGTCCTCTGGACAGTCCAGTCCCTTCACCTGATGAAGGCCACTTGTGTTGTGGCCGAAACGTCGTGATTTTTATTTTTATTGTTTTATTTTATTTTTACCTACGTGACTTTACCGAATGGAACCAAAGAGTATGGATACTTGCAGTCACGAAAGCTTCAAATCTAGAAAAGAAATAAAAATAGTTGAATCGATGGGTCTCGATGTATCTCTAGGGGTCTCTATGCATCTTTGTGGGTCTCTATGTATCTCTATGGGTCTCTATATATCTCGATGGGTCTGCTGCTATATATTTTCACGTGATGATGATGTCAGGCACTTGTCGAGTTGCTATCATTTGTGACAACCAGGATTGCGTCTCAAAAAATCTATGTGGCTCAGTGGGGCCTTACCTCGTAAAATAAAAATAGTTGTAGTTAGAATAGACCCTGGTGACACGATTAGGGACGGTGTGAGGTGCAGCTGTGCGGTGTTTCTGCCTCTGCGTCAGTGCCTTGCACGACCTCCAGTTCAGTGCAACAGCTGCACCACAGCTCCACTCCGACAATCTGTGGCACTCTCTAGATGTTTTTTTGCCACAGGGGTGGAAGACGCAATGCCGAGTAACCCAACCTCGCAGCAGACTCGCCAGTGCGGCTACCGAATGCGGTAAATGTGCAAACCACTTGTAGTTAATGTTGAGTTTGAAAGTGAATGATATAATTACAGTAAGAGGCGTCAAAGTTATGAAGCTGCACGAAGTTCGCTTGAATGCATTTTGACCTCCACGACTTCCACACTGGATGGAGGTCACGGGGGCCAAAGAGCCCGGCCCGGACACGGTACCTACGCCTCCTTGTGAGTGGCCTCCATCCGCTTCACGGACTCCTCCGCCTCCTTCCTCTTCTCCTCCATGGCTCGCGTCTCATACCCTATGCGCGTCTGTAGTGAGAGACGAGACCTCACCAGGGGGAGACTCCAGCCCCCTGAGCCACCCCTCACACCGCCCTTCCCTCCACACCGACCCCTCCACAGCGAAGGCCCTCATCTCCATGCTGCCTCTCTACAGCGATTGAGACGGGGGGCACGGGGAGTGGGCAAGCTGATGCCTCGTTGTAGCAGCAGCCGGTGGGAGCCGTGCTGGCTTGGTGTCCATACCGACTCAGACCCAAGAGCCCATGTGCCCACAGCTGTCTAGTTTAAAAAATACATTTTATAGAATTGTCTATCAGGTGGCTGTGATATCAGTCTCACATCTCTATTCACTTAATTCCTTTACATGGGAATTATGTTTAGTGAGAACCTGGCATGAAATACATCCTGAGGCTGTATCCTAAAACGCCAAGCAGGAGATGTCGACACAGGCAGAGACAGAGATTTAAAAGAGAGAGCATGAACACACTCTTTGGTTCTTTCGGTAAAGTCACGTAGGTAAGAAAAAATATATAGATAACGACGTTTCAATCACAACATAAGCAACCACCATCAGGTGTGAAACAAAGACAGCAGGAGGACTGCTGTGTTTGTTTCGAAACGTCGTGATCTTTTATTTTTGTGAATCCCAGTTACAGAATTAGTCATATCATGTTGCGGTGAATCAATCTGACGGCCTCACCTTCCGTGTCTCGTGCTCGTTCTTCAGCGTCAGGACCTTGTGTCCTATGTGTTCACTTGCGGTGCTGCAAGTTGAGCAGACCAGGCTGCTGTCTACTGTGCAGTAGAATTTCAGCTCCTTGCTGTGCTCCCGGCACCGTCGCTCCTCCAGGTACGCGATGGGAGCTACCAGGAGGTGTTGTGTAAACCTGGGATTCTCCAAGTGAGGCTTCAAGTGCGTCGCACAGTAGGACGTCTCGCATCTCACGCAGGTCTTCACTGCAGGAGTTTGGCCATCAGCGCAGTTGTCACACACGACTGCCGTGGCCATCCTGTCTCCAACTCTGAGCTGGTCCGCCAGGTTGGCGAGGGCCACGTTCCTCCTCAGCTGGGGTCGCACAGGGAAGGTCGCTCGGCACTGTGGGCAGCTGAAGCTGCTCGCCGTCTCCCAGGCGGCCTCCAGGCACCGCAGGCAGAACGAGTGTCCGCAGCTCAGCGTGGAGGGGCACACGAATGTGTCCAGGCAGATGGAGCAGCTGAGCTCACTATCCACACTCTCACTGGGAGTCGCGCTCGCCATGACCCATTACTTCGCTGGGATCACTCGCTGTGGCTCAGAGAGACAATGGACCAGGACCTCTCTCTTATAGCGAGGGTGAAGAAGGAAGTAAAATACTTAAAATATTTTAATTGTCGTCACTGACATCACGATACACTGCCTGGAGTGTGAACCGGCGCCCCGAGGTGCGCAAACAGCAGCCTCAAGGTGAACACGGCTACTGCACACACCTTGACATTTATAGAAATTAGTCCTGTTGTTAATATAAAGCAGAGAGGCTCAGCTGCGGTCGTTCATTCTTGAGATGAGTGTTGAGAGATGAAATCATCCTTCGACAGCAAGTTGGTGGCAAGATGTTATCTCCCTCACCAGGTATACAGGTGGTGGTGGGTGTCATCCCAATCCTGACGCCTGGTTTATATTTAAAGTTTGCGTCTCTCTCTCACCGTGGTCGCGTGAATTTTTCTCCGGATCCTTCGGTTTTTCCCCTCATTTACAATCAACATCACGTGTTAAGAGTAGTTGGCTGCAATACATTTCCACGTGATAAGCCATCATTTGTGGTCAGGTCGTTTCTGAAAAAGAGCCACACAGCTCAGTGAGACTTACCTGCTATAATTTAAATATATTGTACGGTATAGTTGTAGATATCTCATGATTTCTTGTAACTCCATCTCCGTGTAATTACCCTAACGTGACAAGTTGCTTGAATGTCATCGTGGCATCAGAAAAAAAAATACCTGTAGTCTCCCGTGACTTATCCTGGAATCTTGAGCCATTTGTTAGGAGTGTGAATCTATCACCAACTCTACTGCTGGAATGTCACCGTCTCTCACCCTCACTGCAGATCCCCGTGCCGGGCATTCACAGCCGCACCCACCGCTTACTTCACCTGCGTTGTTGTTTCACATTCACACGCACGGCTACTCAACGCGCATGCACACGCAGCAACAAAAATGCCCATCGGCGTTCACCATGATGGTAAAAGAAAAAGCAATAAATCTAAACTCTTTTTTTATTTCACCAGGTAAAGCCCACTGAAATATTAGCTTATTTTTCAGAAGCGACCTACCCATTACAAATGATAGCTCAACAAAGTGGCTCATCGTTGGAAATTTATAGCAGTCATATAATCTAAATACTGCACTCTAAACGCTTACTTGAACGTGGAGACGCTCTCTTGGGCTCTGCGGGTTGTTCACAGCAGATAACGAATGCCTTGGACTCTCCGCCCCAGGCGGACTCGTGGGAAAATGCGAACTGGATTACACTGAACACACGGCCTGGACTCGTCCGTTTTGCTTACTAACGGATAAAAACGCGTCACTGCGTTTGAAAGGGTCCTTCTACAAGGTCACCAATCCGAGGGAGGGGGTTCCCACAATGTCCACGGCTCATTCCTTGGTGCAGCAGCAGCAGAGACGGTTCAATGCTCAGTGAGGCGCAGTGGCTCCAGGCCAGGCAGACAGCACGATCTGCCGCGGGTTTTGTAGCCAACAAATCCTCGCACCCCGGCAGAGCCGGTTAGGTGACAGCTCAACACCCCTCGGGTGCCACGCAGCCCACACCCGGCTTCGCATCCAGTTACAATTACACATTCACTCACACACACACTCAGACAACAACAACCGTGGCGGTGACGTCACCACGACGCTTGTGCCAGGCCATGTGCACCTTGAGGCCACGTGAAGTGTCGAACGCCCGCTGGCAGGAGGTCACGGGGCAGACCCAGGTGCCACGGGTCGACTGACTGAGATGACTGGCTGATGCACCACCTGTGCCTCCTACTGTGTCAACTTGCTGTGCTTTAGCTACCCGGCGCTCCGCTCATTGTTGTGAGCATCGCTCCTCCACCCTCCGTTGTTGTTGGAAAAAAAAAGAGTGACATGTTCGGTCACATGCACGCTAGCGTAGATAAATAGCAATGCACCAAGGTGTGCTCACAAACAGCAAGAACTTGAACGGCTAGTCAACCTCGTGACCTGAAGCTGACCGCCACCACAAACTCAAGCACACGGGCGAGAAGCCGTTCATGTGCGACGAGTGTGGCAAGACATTACTCGCGCTCGACCTACCTGTACATTTTTCACTTGTGTGTGTTAACTGTTGTGGATCTTTGTTATCTTAAAGATGGCAATTCTCCTGCTGTGTATCCTACTGCTGTCCCTCCCCGCCATATCTAGTGCCACACTCAACTCTACAAACGGCTACCCTCGTCACTTTGCGTCCATACTTGTTGCTCGATTTGCCACTACACCTGCAAATGAAACAGCTCATAGACACTTCTATACTCCATCATTGTATCCTTTTAAACCCTATCTTTGTCCCATTACTTCACCAGCACTCCTTCCAAACTTCAGTCTGCTCTTAAAAATAACACCATCTGTGAGCTGCTGCTATTCGTCCAAGGTTCACCGCTCTTCATCCTTTCACAGAAAAATACTTGTGCAAACTATTAATTCTACTTTTCTTATTTCTGGGTGGTATTGAGCTTCATCCTGGCCCAAATATAAACAACTCGTATAATTCTGTAGATTTTTTTGGCAGGAAAGGTGTTGGTGTTCTACATGTCAACATCAGAGAGCTTGTGATTAAATTAAGTCAACTTAAACTAGAAGTGGCAAATCTTGACCCGGACATTTTTTGCCTAACAGAAACATTTTTCACTCCTGCCGTTAATGACTTGCACATTACGATTGACAACTACAACCTTTTTCGGCTTTACCGAGGATCTGAAGGAGGTGGAATTGCCATCTATGTTCGTAATACTATTGCATATTCACCAGCTCACTCCTGTTTAAAAAATGTTGCTTTGAAGGTCTGGCTCTCAGAATAACTCTCCCAAATAATCAACAGATATTTGTAGTGTGCTGCTATATACCGCCAAGTGGGAAGGGTATTTAGGCTGCATCTGCACTGAGAGAGCTTTTTATGGGCCTCCCTAAAGGTGAAATAGTTTTACTGGGTGATCTAAATTGGAATTGGCTAAACCCGCCGGCCGTGGCCACAAATTTTGCAAATCATTTTAACCTGTTTCAATTAATAAATGTCCCCACAAGACCCAACCTAAAAAATCCGGGACAGTCAATTCTGCTTGACGTCTTATTGACAAATACCCCTCACAATTTCCCACTGACTGGTGTTCTGGGTAATAACCTTAGTGATCACTGCTTCATTTTGGGGGTGAGATCATCAGCCAGACCCAAACCCCCCCCCCCCCCCCCTAAATTGGTTGAGAAGCACTCTATAAGACACTTCAGCACTCAGGCATTTACTAATGATGTACTTCACTCGGATATTGACAAGGTCTGTGATATCCCCAACCTGACTACAGCTTGGGAGACCGTCAGGTACACGTTTCTCCAAATTCTTAACAAACATGCTCCGTTGGTTAGATTTACAACTAAAGGCAACCGCCCACCATGGTTTGATCCTTTGGTTACAAAGCTCATGAAAACTAGGGACAAGGCTTGGACATGTGCTCAGAACAGTAATTTGGTCAATGACTGGCTAGAATACAGGATTATAAGGAAAAGATGCGTCACAAAAATACGGCATGCCAAAATATCTACTTTTCCTCCACTCTCCTGGTATCACATGGAAATGCCAGGATTTTCTGGAAAACAATCAAATGTATCGAAAAGGCATCCAAAACAGATAAGCTGCCCGTTGAGCTTAACCGAAATGGGGAATATTTTTCAGATCCCCAAAAAATTGTTGACAATTTTAACCTTCATTTTTCTGAAGCTGGTAACCTTTTTGACAATCTATTGGGAGTCACCCCTGCTCATTCAAATTCCTACACTCCTGTCCGAACATTAAGCAAATTAAGTTTCCAGCCAATCAACGAAAGTAATGTTCTGAAACAAATGTCCTACATCAAAGGGTCCTCTACCAGAGCAAATAGAATTCCGTCTTGCTCTACTAACTGTTGGTCACCTAATATATGAACCTATAGCCCATATTTTCAACATGTCCATCAAAGAAGCATCAGTTCCTCTAGAATGGAAACATTCCTATGTCCGTCTATTTTACAAAGGGGGCCCTAACTATGATCCAAATAACTACCGACCTATCTCAATTTTGTCCCCGTTTATGAAATTTTTTGAAAAATTATTGAACTAAAAAATTAGCAGTTTCCTGTCCGACAACAATCTATTATATCGAAACCAATCTAGGGTTCCAAAAAAAATACAGCACCACATCTGCTGCATTATACTATCTAAATCACATTTTCAGTAGCCTTGATAATAAGCAGTACTGCGCCAGTCTATTTGACCTGTCCAAAACTTTTGATACAGTAGACCACAACACCCTGGTTATTAAACTAAGTTTCCTCGGTTTACCCGAAAACGCAGTAAAATGGTTAAAGAATTACCTCTTTTCTCGCACCCAAACTGTATTCACAGATGGTTGGAGGTCAAGCAGTGTTAAGATAACAAAAGGGGTTCCACAGGATTCCATCCTCGGCCCCCTCTTGTTCTCTCTTTATGTCAATGACTTGGGCACTAACCTGGATCATTCCAGGGTATAATCTTTTTGCAAATGACACGATACTGATTACTGCTGGCCGCTCTCCGGATGACGTGATTGCTAAGCATCAGGGTGATTTCAATAAACTACAACATCAGCTAGTTGCTCTTAAACTAGTCCTGAATACCTCCAAAACCAAGGTGCTACGCTTCTCACCAGGACTAAAGCAGAAATTTATTTTCCCCAATTACATTCCTTAAATAATTATCAAATAGAGCAAGTCAAGATCTATAAGTATCTTGGGGTCATCCTGGATTCAAACTGAATTTTGAAGATGACATTGATTATATTGGTAAAAAGACAAAAAATATAAATTGGTTTTCTCTATCGACACAAACACTGCTTGCACCCTATGTTCCGTTTGGAATTGATAAAAGCTACCATACTGCCTCTACTTGATTCCTGTGACATCGTGTATACATCAGCCCCAAGTACTGTACTGAAGAAGCTTAATTCCATTTATCACTCGGCCTTAACATTTGCATTGAACAGCCCATATAGGACTCACCACTGTGATCTCTACATTGGGTCAAACTTAACATCTCTTAATGTTAGGACGGCTTGTGCACCAGATCTTATTTATTCACAATGTACTTGCAAAAAAATCCGCAGACTACCTGCTGGATCTCTTCTCTGTTTCAAAAACAAATTTGACCTAAGGTCTTCGCTCATTTACCAGCTTCACATTCTCTATTGCCGTACAAATACTGGAGAAAGGGCCTTTGCTATTGATGCCGTACGAATATTGCTATTTTAAGATCTGCCTATTATTTTATCACGTGATCGTGAATATTAGCCAATACTTGTTTTTATAATTCAATACGGATTGATGAGTAGGTATATTTGCATGGGTACTGTCGTTGCTATTATTTACTGCTGATAATAGTTCTGGATATTAAAGTTCCTTAGATT